AAAAAATATATCAAAGTACATATATTATTATTATTATTATTATTATTATTATTATTATCTAATGATAAATTATTATGTACGACGATAAAATTGTTAATTATTGTAATAATTATTTTAAAATTTATATATAAGGTGATTTTTAAATAATTATTAGCAATTTAAATATTTTAACAATATATAAAATTAAATTTTTATTTACTATAAATAGATTGTTAGCTCTTTTTTTTTTCTCAATTAAATAGAATATCAACTTAATTCTTTTAAAAAGTTTATACATTCATTTTAATTTGTAATGATTTACCTTGATCCCTACACTATGCGACATAACTACTAGTAACGAAAAACATCTAACTTAGGACTATATATTTAAAAATATTAAAAACATGTACTATACTGCATGCATATAAAGGCAATCAACTAAGTAAATGTGTGCAATATACATATAGTATTTCAGTAAGTGCAATCTATACATCTTAAGTTACCGGTCAACAAAACATCCTCCGGCTCATGCACCATTGAGTGACCTTTAGAATAACTCTCCGGTCCTACCCCTGTCCTGCTACCATACACGTATGATCATTGTAATCCAAACCACATAAAAACATGCAATGATAAACTAGAGTAAAAAGAAACAAATATATACAACATAGAAACATCACATTGTTAGCTCACATCTTCAACAACACAACAATAGGGCATCATAGTATATTACACAAATCAACATAACAACTTTAATTCAATGCAACAACACATTTCATCACAATTCAACACAACATATGAACAACACAATTAACTCAACTTATTATATGCTTAATACAACAACTATATGCGTCATCATGCATTTTAATTAGGAGATCTCCTATAACACAGGGTGAGCAGTTTAAGTGGCTTGACCCTACCAAACCGACAATACATGGTGATCTTTTTGAGCTTGTTAGATCAACAACAAATTTAATATAAATCCACAACGCAATAACTCGATTTCTCATATGTCACCACTTAAACAAGGGAGTATAATACTACTGTTAGGGTAGAACAACTGGGTACGGACCTACCATGACATTAACTAACTTAAGTAAGCCTTCTATAGGATTAGCCCACTAACTACCTTCCAAATGTCATGCCTTTTCGATACTTGGTTAAGAACTAAACTCCCAACTTTGTACTTTATTTGGTTGCTCACTTGTAATCAGTATAGCTCGACCTGACCCCTATACTATAATCGCTTCATACATGTGTGCCTCGACCTTACCCACACACAATACCAACAAAGTCCTAGAGGAGAAACAACACAATATCCACCTCAAGGATCGACTATACCTAAGAAGGTTTTTTTTTAACAAATTGGACTCTTAGAACACCACAACACAATATCTACATAATAAGATATGCAACTTTTGAAAACCTCTCATCTAATTCTAAGTGGTCATCATAGCTGAACAACATAACAACTCTTTATGTATTCAACACAACAAAATTAACATACAACTTTACATCTCACAACTCAATCATTATAACTTATATTCCACTTTGAAATCAACAAACATCTTAACAACACATTGTATATTCAACACAATTACATAGACAACATACGACTCTGTCAACACACAACACATATATAACTCATATCTTCTTCTCAACTAAAAACTCACAACAAAATCATCACATACTACTTTATCACTATAAATCATGCATCATTTTTCATTTAACAACTTAAAACAACAAGTGCTCAACATTTCATCAATTATAACATCATATCTTCTTCAACATTTCAGAAAAGAATTGGAAGAAGAATAAAAGAAGATTGAGAGAAAAAGAGCTCATGGACTAGAAACCTTTTTTTTAGAAAGTTGAGGAAAAGAGTTTGAGACCTCATTCAAAATAGAAATCTTATATACTCTTTTTTTTAGGATCAAATTAAATCTTTGCCTAGACAAATCTTCTCTCAACATTATTGGAACTCTTAAGAGATCCTTAGACTCCAAAGCCTACCAACATTGGCAACTCACTTAACAACATAAAACATCTTGAGGTAATATAACATTATCACAACTTATAATGTTACACAATCAATTAAAAATTAACTTTGAAAAGATTTTAAAATAATTATTATTTAAGTTATCAAATTTACCAATTATGATGGTCTGTGATTGAATCACAATTTTTTTTAAAAATTACATTATCAATTAATGTCATTTATTTTCTCCTAAAAAAGCACATAATACTCAATGACTAGCTAAGAGTGATTATTACATGTAATGTTATCATCAATTAGTAGCTAAGAGTGATTATTACATGTACTGTAATAATCTATTTTCATTGTAAAGATTTTTATATTGTTAACTAATTAATTAAGAACCTATTTAAATACGATCTTAAAATAATTTTAATAAATTATAAATTTTAAAAAATTCACGTAAAAAAGAATTTCACTAACACCCTCCAAATAAGAAAACAGCTCTAAATTTACGCAGGGTTAATGACAAAAAAGCAAATCATGAATACATTCTCATCCCTCACAAGTTTTTGACGGTGGACATTATAAAACCAAAAGTGTTACTTATAGTTTATTATGTACTATAAAATTATTTATGTACTTTTATCTGATAATTTTAGGAGTAGATAGTGCTTGTATAAATTTTTACATAAAATAACTTTATTAAATTTTTACAATAATTATCTTAAAAATAATAATAATAATAAATTTTTTTAATTAAGTAATAATATAATTTTTTTAAAAGTAGAAGTGGTTAGGAATTAAACTCTAATTGAAGTTATTAATTGTTGTTATACACTATATATATATATATATATATGTATATGTTAAAGTCTTTATGAAGTGATTCTGATTTGATTCTTAATTAATGTTACTTCATGAGATTCATATATGTATTTTATCTAAAAGATTCAAATTATTGGCTCGTGATGCATACATCACTTGATATCTATATTATCTTGGTTTCACTATATTAGTATTTTTTTTACACACTCGTGCTTTTGTTATGCCTTTCCACACGTAAACATGAAATGACATATTTAGTGTTTATACACACCAATTATTATTCTAATGTATCATTGTAACTTATACCTCAAGTTTTCACACAACACGGGGTTTTGGACAAGCCTTATAATTTCCTTGGGGCTAGCAAGACCCAAACTTAATTGACATGTGAGGCTGACCTAAGCCCAGGGAAAACAAAATGAGAATCGCATAATATAATTCATGTAAAGGAAAAGTTGTTATCATAGATTGCCTAATGCAACAAATACGTGGTCAAATATAGCAGCTATTACGAACACTGCGCACATCAAAACACAGTACTTGCCTTTAAAATTATCTGAAAAGAAATCACGTATGAACACAATAAATCTTTACTTGTCCAGCTCTAAGATTTCAGATTTGATTTCGCCCATGCCAAAATAATTTTTATCAATTAAAATATAAATATGAATTAATCTTTAATTATTAATTTTGAGACACTGCATAAACTATATGTGAATTTGTCTTTGATGTGAGTCACGTAGCTTATACTAACTTTTTCAAAAATAGACAAACATCAGTGCTTCCTCTTCAATACATTTTGCCGTCATATTGAAAATCAGGGATGAATATCATCATATGGATTTGAACCACTAGTGAAGACCATGATAAATAATTATTGTTAAACTAATAAACTGTGTCCTAGTTGTACTTCTAGTCTTCTATATTTGGATATCCTAATTGTCTGTCTTCGTTATAGTTAGCTAATTACATGATGATTTAGGGGGTCGTGATATGAAGTATACACAAGATAAAATTTAAAAGAATGTGACACTGAAATTAATTCAAGAGCTAGCAGAGTCGTGTGAATTTAATATTGTGCTAACCAACACCATGTACTTTCATTTATGAGAATAATGAGACTAGATGAGGAATCAAGACTCTAGTTACTTCGAACCAATGAGTGTGAATAGTCCCTGACTTTACGATATTCTTCACCTTAAGAGTTACAATTTCTTAAAAAGTCTGATTGGATACAAGTTTGAAACATTTTTGAGAGTTTTTCTACCAAAAATAAAAATATTTTTGAATAAAAAATTATCAAAAACACTTCTAAAATCTTATATTTAAACAAGTTCAAAGAAACATCTCACTTACCTATAAGTACTCACTTACATCTTGTGTGACTGATAAGTAATAGACAAAAGCTAACTAGAGACCTTAAGATGTAAACAAACTAGCTTTAATTAGTTATAAAGTGGCTCCTATATATTGAAAATTGAAACAAACAAACTTTAATTAGTTCCAAAGTGGCTCCAGACAAAAAATTCAAATCTGTTAGTTGTATATTTAACAGTGAGTGAAAGCTTTATAAGAATTAAGAATCACCCATGTCAAAAATAAGGGCTAGTTGGATAAGATTCACCTGTTCATGAAACTACACAATGGATTAGTGTTGGTCACTCATTTGAAATTATACTCCATTTACACGATGTAAATGAGTATATATAATTGAAGAGTTATGGGGAGAAATATGATGAAAAGTGAAGAAAGTGATAAAGAGGAGTGCAAACTGCAAAGTGATAGTAGACAAATATACACTCCTCAAAACTATAAAATTACTCTTTTCATTACATGTGAAAATTACTTTTTCTTTTCTCCGTTAGAAGTATTTCTGTAATTTTAAAAGGAAATATGGCATGTCCGATTCAATTAAGTTCAAATGATATCGTTTTACCAATCTCATACATCACTCAGGACTTGTGTGTACAAATATTATCTCATTTTAAATAAATTGTAGCCAATAGGATCATTTTGGTCTAATAATTGGCTTAATTGAGCACATCTTTATCACCTTGTAATATCAACATTATCAGTCACATAAATAATTTTAAAAAAAAAAATTAGATATAAAAAATATTAGTAGTCAGCCTCCAAGAACTTTAACTGCATCAAAGGGGTGAAGCATTTGTGTGGGCCATTTATAAATTGATAGAGGACAAATCTCCTCAAAGAGCATTGTATAAATATTCTAACCAAGCTCCTTCTCCTTCACTTCACTCAAGTCACCTTTCCTCTGTGTTCGTTTCCCATTCTCAAAGACACTTCACAAACACGTTTGAGCCTTCAAATTCTACGTTTCTCTTTTTTCACCATCATGGCCAGACCCCAACAACGCTATCGTGGAGTCCGCCAAAGGCACTGGGGCTCTTGGGTCTCCGAAATTCGCCACCCTTTATTGTAATTCACTTTCCCTTCCCAACAAAGTCATCACACCACATTAACTTAGTGTCGTCTCATCGTGATCTTGGTTGCAACCATCTGTCGCAGCTAAATCACGACAAGATGACATTAAATTTTCTTTTATCAAAGAGAATAATGTTGCCAATACAGTTTTCTTTTATGATGCATAAGAATCGAACTTGGTGCTAAAAATTTATAAAACTCACTTTGTTTAACAAACTGAGTTGGACTTGTTGGTTCTTATGACCTTTAATGTTTAAGTTAAGAAATTTACTATTCATTACTAAGCACTTGATATGGTTATTAAAACAATTTGTGTTGTTTTTGCACCACAGGAAGACTAGAATATGGCTAGGAACATTTGAAACTGCAGAAGATGCAGCAAGAGCATATGATGAAGCAGCTAGACTCATGTGTGGGCCAAAAGCACGTACCAATTTCACATACAACCCTAATGAACCACATTCATCCTCATCGAAGCTTCTCTCTGCCACTTTAACGGCCAAACTACATAAGTGTCACATGGCTTCCCTTTCCCTTCAAATGGCCAAACAGAAAACCCCACAGAACAAAGAGCCTCAACCCTCCCTTGGATCCAATCCATTTGCCTCTGCCAATGCCATTGCTGGATCAAGTGCTGACACTGGATTAAGGTGGCTAGATGGGAATTGGGTTGGTGTGGAAGGCCAGGTTGAAGTTTCCCATCAACAGTTTCAGCCAGTTCTGGAAGATGATCACATTGAGCAAATGATACAAGAGTTGCTTGATTATGGATCAATTGAGCTTTGCTCTGTTGGCTCAACTTAGACTCTATAGTAATTAGTAGCATTCTCCAATGGCAAGTGCAACATCTTTTTGGGGTACTAATTCACCATGTAATAAAAGTATAAGCTTAGTTTAGTACAATAGGGAAGTCTTTACCCATTAGAATCTGTTTGGATACAAATTTAAAAAAACTTTGGAGAATTTTTCTATTAAAAAATATTCTTTATTATTGATAGAAAAACTCTAAATAATTCTTCTAAATTTGTATCTGATCAGACTCTTAGTAGACAATCATGTGGAATTAGAATGTAACCAGCCAACGATGCGAAAGGCATATCATGCATATGATGGACTATAATAGAGAATTAGTATATCAGTAGAATACAATTTTCCATCTTCTGCTTTTTGTTTATATCCTACTACTGAAAGTTGCCCAAAATTCTTCTCTAATAAAGCAGGATGCATGTGGGACCTTTGTCTGTGTTAGACATGATATCTTCAGCTTTCATTAGTTTATACATTGTTTGTTATCATCAATAAACAGATAATTTTGGATTATATGTCAATAAAGACAATGACGAGAAGAGAGACATAAAGGAGAAAATGAGGCTAATCCAGTTAGGATACACGTCTGCCTCCTATTATTTTAATTAGTTGATCATGAACGTAATACTTATATGTTTGATAATTTTTTTTTCTGCTTAAGTATGTAACATAAGGAAATTTCAGTTAAATCAAAAGTAAGAAAGTTTTTTTATTTTTTATTTTTTAAAGTTAGTTCGAAAAGTTAAATTCAATCCAATTTAACTTTTTAACTATAATCCATACAAATACTTAACACTTAATGAAATTCATCAAACATTTGTTACAAAGCACGTGGGAAAACACTTGGTGGATGCTACATATGACAAACTTTAACCGTTGTACTGCCAAGGTAAAGGGAAATTATTTCAAACATGGTTAGCACATTGTTGTCATAAAGGCCACCACTTTGGCAGTAGCAGCCACAAGAGTCAACAGTAACTAAGCACAAAGAAACATGATAAGGGAGAGATGAAAACAGAAAAGGCAGCAATTTGAAAAAATGATCACGCAATGTTTATTTTCGAAACATAAAGTCAATCTGTTGGGTGTTGTATCCAAGGAATGTACAGACAGATACTGCAAATTATGACCAAGTATGCCAATCCGCAGGGATCATGATGAAGCATTACTTCTTTGACAATAAACACAAACATTTCTTTCTATTTCTACATAAAAGTTTTATGAGATAAAGTTTTACCCGAGTTAAAACCAAAACAAGATGCCAACTTCCTAATAGTGCAATTTCGTGTGAGCACTGAGCAATTTGCCAATTATTGTGTGAATATATATACCTTTGGTAATCATCCTTTAGGTTCAAACTATTCATAAAATTTGCTGTTGACTAATTATTTGACCATGTTTTTTTTAGTTCACAAAACTCGAATAAGAACTATTTTTTGTAAAAATTAATTTCAATTTTACTGAAATTAATAACTTTTGATTTCTTGTTTGTATATGATCACACAAGTAATCATCTTTAAAATAACTTTGACACAAATTACATTACGAAATTTATAATTATATTAATGCATCTTAAACTTTTAATTGGTTGTGCTTATAAACATTGTGTTGTTGCAATTATTACTGGCTTCATATTACCTACCAATGAAAAGATCGAGATTCAAATTCAAGTTATGTGATTGCAACAAATGAAATGCCGACCATGTGAATCAAAGCACCCTTGGTCATTACTGTGTTGTTTGTAACTTGCTTTTTCTAGTTGATAACAGACCATACGACCTTTCATATTGTCTTTTGAACTATCCTTCCTTCCATCCTCGATTCTTGCACACTAACCGCAAAACATCTCCATTCAAAATCCACGTACTCAACTCCCTTTAATTTTAAGCACATTTCATCACGCGTTTCATTATATCTCCTTTGTCATTTTAAATTTTAATCTCCTCGATCTCCAACAAACATTGAAGTTAAAATGATCAATTTTATAACTGAAAAATTCTTCTTTCATTTCTGTTAGTTACTTATTCAACGAGAATCGTCTCTTTTTCTCAAACCGTATCTTTAGCAAAGACAATATGGGATTTTAATACTAAAGTCACAAGTTGCATGCATGATACTTTAATTATCAATTAAGTAGATAGCACTTTTAATATTTATCCGAGTTTAGCATAAAGGGATCTCCACCACTTTAGAAAATATCGACGGAGGATTGATTGCATCACATTGCTTACTCTTTTTCAGACCGATCTTCTTAAAAAATTGAAACCAAGTCTATTTGTTAGAACAAAATTTCTCTGTGATAGAATAGCCTAGACTTTCAGTCGGCATGATGCAAACAAATTAACATAAGATGTCTTTCGCAATCCTATTTTTATGTTCCTGCCATGTGTTTTTCGGGTTTACTAAATTAGAGATTAATTTTGTTTACTGTATTGTGATTGTTAATCTGTTAAATTTTCACATATAAAAGCAATGAAACATGAATTTTTCTCGGTATAGATCGTCATTATAATGTGTGAGTGCATGAAATATAATCATTATCTCAATTTATTGAATTATTTTTTTTTGTTGCAATTTTTCTCTTTTCTCTTAAATAAATAAAATAAATGAATTCGGAACTTTGTCTGTAACTTTGGAAATACTATGGTTGTTGAGCTAACACCTTTAATTATGTGCACGGGAAGTGTCCTCCATGCTTAGAATCACAAACATGTTGATTCCAACATTGCGGACCCGTATGTCTCAATTGGTTGTGCAATCATGCATAAGTCAAACATTGTATCTAGCTGGTGGTCATATAAAATTATAATAAAGTGCACATTTTCTTTCTGTAAGAGATTTTCTTCTACTTAATTTTGTCCTAGCATATTTGGATGAAGATGACACACTTTACTATTTTGCTTTCAAACCAAATTTGATTCAATGTTCTCAGTGATCTTTTTTGCATGTGAAATATGTTCTTGGGGGTGAAAACAACGGGTGTTATAATCATCAAATATCCACCATATGGTACCACGTTATTTTGTTTACTTATTTAATTCTTTGAAAGGTTTAGAGGCACAGTGAATTCCACTATTTTATCCCCATGCTTAATAATTATCTATCTATCTGGTAATTGATTTTGTCCCCCACAAAATCATTCAAAAGCACAAATTTGATAAGCCTAGTGACATGACAAATGAAAACCAATAATTCACATTAGTTGAATAATCTCTTTAATGTTGTGCCTCGCAATGGATATCATAAAACAAAGTCATAATTATGTCTTAATATAACCTAAGATGCTAATTAAGCAATAGACTGATTTGTTCTGAAACACTCGAAGTGGAGGAACCCTACTTATATGGTAACAATTAACAAACAATCAACCCTTGAAGAACTACATTTATGTGGTACAACATAATTGGAAAAATGGGTGCTGTCAAATCTGAGACTTTTTACTCGAAAAGGGAGGCTTCATATTTCTAAGTGAACTAAGTACGCAAACAAAGTTCATGGACATATATTCCAATTTTTGGTTCAATGAACCAATCAATAAATGTTGTAGCATTTATGTTGGTTATGCACATTGAAGCCACATTTATGTTCTCACCTTCTATTCTTCTACTTGTAAGAAACAAGGAATAGGACACTCTCGATAGACATAAACAGAGGCACACATGGGATGTCATGCATGTTTCCCTTTCAGCTCACCATTTCTTCACATGGAGTTGATACTTGTAGTTGTCTCTGCTTACAGGATCTACTATCAGCTGATTGCATCTATTCACCATCTGATTTTGGTTATCTGTTTTTTTTCTTCTTTGTCTGGTGTGAACAAGAATTGCTCACTGTGGAATTCCGAAGAATTTGAACCTTAGTTATCAATGTTCGGTCTAACCATAAGTTAGACTTAAAATAAATTTGAGATTTTTTTAAATTAGAAAAATAAATGGTAAAATATTTTAAATTAAAAGACTTTTTTTTTTTTTTTGTGATATTCAATCAAATAAAGTTTTTTTTAAAATATGTTAAAATCTAATAATATTCTATTATGACTTTTTTGTTTTCACATTTTAAAAAACATACAAACTTTTATGAATTATTTTGTAAGATAGATTTTGTAACACTTTTTGATAAAATTTGTACATGATATACTCATCCAATAATTTGTCTCAAATTCTGAAAATTTTGTATGACTTTTTTATTGATTTTTTTTTCTTTTTATTTCTTATCTCCATCTCCTCAATTCTCTCTCTCCTCTTCTCTTTCTCTGGCACTTTTTATTTCTTTTTAATATTGATTATTATTTTTATAATACTTAATATTGAAATTACAAAATAAAAAAAATGCATTAAACAAATAATTTTTATATGGTAAAAATTAATTTACTTTGTCTCATAAAACAGGAGAAATTTAAACCAAAACAATTACAATTTTAAGCATTTGAAATTTTAAAATTCTTCATCTAAATACAAGTTAAAAGAATCTTTTTGGTTATTTATAAAATTAGTAAATGAAATGTCCGATGAATTTTCAATTGTTTTAAACTCATTTTTAAATATCATATTTTTGAAATCATTGTTTAAATTCAATACCATGAAAAAAAAATGTCAATATATTAATAGCTATATGTAAAAAAATGTTAATTAAAAGGACATAAAATAGAATCAATTGTTTATTAAAATATTAAAAAAATTATATTGATTTTACTTTTCTTTATTCAAATCTTATCATATATGTTAATTTCTTATTAAGTTATTCTTTTTTAAATTCATACTATCTTTTAAAATCTCATAAAATCCTCTCAAATCTTATAAATTCTTATTATATAAATTTATTAAAACTTAAATTAAAAACAAATCTTAATTATAAAAGTTTTTCAGAAAATTTTAATAGTAATTACATTTAAAAAAAAACCACAAAAAAATTCATATTAAAATAATCTTTAAAAATTTTAATCCAATACACACTATTATTCTTTTTATTGACACATGACACTTTTTTTTTTGACAAATATGTAATATTTTTGAATCTAACTTCTCTAAAGTGAAATAATAATAATCATTGATTAAAAATTTAATTATTGATATTATAATTAATTTTAGATTTTATTTTGTAAAAATTTGATTTTATCATAAATTTTAATCATTGATTTTATAATCAATAGTTATGAATATATTTTATTTTTTAAAATACACTCTTCAGTTTAAAAGAGTGAAATTCAATATTTTTACTTCATAAAATCTAATAACAAATAAATTTCTTTTGATGAACCTAAAAAACTCAAATTTTAGTGTAGTCTTACAGTTTAAGTTGAGGTTGTTACCAGACAAATATACCTTGCTAATTGCAATTATATGGTTTAACTGAAAATCAAAGACAACGTCCAAGTATAGTGAATCCTACGAATTTTAGAAGCCTCTTCTGGTCATATGGGAGGTATTGT